CCTTGGCCTCACCGTAGGCCGCCTGCCCGGGGCGGTTTTTTTTGTTTCGGACCACCGATTTAAACCGGCGGAACAACACGTAACTAGCCTTCCCTTAAGCAAAAGACGCAACAAAATCCGGCGCAAAAAAAAAAGAAGAGAAGATGGGGCTTTTTCGGATAACCGGGCTTAAAGCTTCTGAACCAATACGTCGCCTTCTTCCGTTGGCAGTTGAGCCCCTGGAGAAATGAGAAAGTACGTCCAGTAGTGAAATCGATTCCTATTGAACCCAACGGGGGAAAATAACAAAAATCGTCTCCAGCAACTGGAAGCCTTCCCAGAAGCAAAAGGCACAACTTTGGATGGGCGTTACTTTACAAACTGTGGTACGTGCTTGCAAAAAAAAGAAGAAGTTTTTTTGCAGCCCCCACAAATAACGAACACAAGCAAACACATCCTAAAAGCATGAACCAACAACAGTGAAGTTAAACCAAGATGGTTTATTAGATGGATTTGTCCAAACTACCAGAAAAAAAACACAGCAATCTGCTGATTGAACAGCCAATCATATGCTTGTTCTCGTCCTCTAAGGCACCTTGTCAGGCAGTGTTTTTGTTTTTAAAGAGGCGCCTGTTTTCCTCTTCGAGTAGCAGAATAGTAGGTTGTTTAAGCATTGCCCTTCGCTGAGCTTCCGTGGCAACGCAACATCTTTGGTACCTCTACAAGCCCTTTTCGGTCTTGGCGTTTGGCTTCAATCCTCCTTTTAACCATCTAAGAAACCATGCAAAACAAATCTACAAGCCCTGTTTGGTGTCGGTGTTGGCCAATTGGAACCATTCAAGAAAGAATGTGGGAAGCCCTTTTTGGTGCTGGCGAAGTGGCCAACTTCTCCCGATGTTTTTTCCTGCCGACTCCCCCTGCCGAACCTCCTGCCAGCGGCCCGGCCAGCCGCTCCCCATCTCTCCGTCCGTCAACTGGGGTCATTATTTTGACGCTTTCTGGGGGGTTTATCAAAGTCAGAAAATGGTGGTTGATGGTAAAATCTCGGTTGCTTTCTGCTCCCCTTGCCAAAAAAAAACAGTTTAACTTTTTGTGGTTTAATACGCAACACCCATTAGTTGGCAAAAGGTTTAAAGTCCGAACATCCCTTGGCAAAATGAACCAAAGAACACTTCTCACTTCCTGAGTAGATGGCCCCCAAAAAAGTCCGAACTGTTTGTTTACCACCAAAATGGTCCAACCCCCCCCCCAAAAAAAAAAAAAAAAAACGGTCCAGGAACTCAGGAAGTGACCTGGACTTTTCCCCTACCGAGGCCAGGTCCGGCCCGCGGTCCCATCCTGCAGCACCGCAGGGTGCCAGCCGTCGCCGAAGGGGCTGGCGCCGGAGGTGGCGGCCGCCCGCAGCGCCTCAGCCACCTGCGACCTCGGGGAGTGGGTGGCGGGGGGGGGGGGGCGGTGGTTGAAGGGGCGGATAGGCGGGGGGGAGAGTTGGAGGGGGGGAGAGTTGGAGGGGGGGAGAGTTGGAGGGGGGGAGAGTTGGAGGGGGGGAGAGTTGGAGGGGGTGGTGGACCCAAACCTGAGAAACATATTTTTCTCAAACGTGTTCTGAGGCTTGAACAAATACATTGCCTGCCACTTAGCCCGGCTTGGGAGCAGCCGGCCGTTGAAAACGCCAAAACAGAAACACCCTTTCAAGAAGTGGTGCTTGGAAATCTCGACCAATTGCTCCTTTGCTTCTTTGGCAAAACGAGGCTCAAGCCTGCCCGTTTGCTCCCCAAGAGCCAGCCATTCAACCTGCAGCAAATCTGCATCTTTGCCTGACGCTCCGTCCTCCGAAATGCATCAGTCTGTGCTGGCATCCGGGCCCCGGGCCGTGCATCGCCCTGGCCGACCGCATTGCTGTGCCTCTTTGGGCAGAAATTCCCCCCGCGCCTTTTTTTGCTGGGACCCTTTTCTTGAACTTCAGGGGATTTGTCGCAGACTGCAGTTTGTCTTCTGAGGGCTTCTTCATTTTCCTCTGGAACTGTTCCATCCATTTCCAGAGTCTCATGCCAGTCCACTGGCTTGTGCCGCGCCTCAGCCTTCAAACCGCTGCCCAGGCCTCAAGAATCCGAGCGAGCGGACCGAGAAGTCACCCGAGATCTGCGGCACAGCAACAGGTTGGTTTTTCGATTCCATTTCGAGCCTTACACAAATTTTCACCCTGCCCCTGAAACTCCGGCTCATTTTTGTGTATGCGAAAATGCGTCTCCTTTTTTGAGGCTACCCTGCAGCTTGGTGCAGGAAACTGTTGAGTTCACAGAAGCAAAAGCTGCCCCAAACCCATTTCAGGGGGTCCTTGGACCCCGTTTTGACAAAAAAAAATGGTGACAAAACGAAGGAGAATTCGCCGGCGCCTGAAGTGGGGAATGCAATCCAAGAGATGGACGCCTCTCAATCCCTCGGGCAGATCCCCGGAATTTCCGTGTCACGAGCTTGGCATGAAAAAACCCACCAGAGCCGGCAACCATTGACGACTATTGGCTGGAATTCGGACCCCGGCTTGGAGGAACCCCAAAAAAGCAAAAAAGTAAAAAGGGGAACTAATCCTGGGGAAGTATAGCGCTCTTTCTCTCATGGGGGCTGAGGGGGGAGGGAGGAGGGGGGCAGGGAGCCCAAATAAGCCCTGAATAAGGCCTTATTAAGGGCTTAATAAGGGCTCAGTTGGGCTCCCTCCCCCCTCTCCTCCCACCCCCCCAGCCCCCATGATTCTCGTTGCGGTCTTCTTTCATTCTCTCTTCTTTCTGTTTGTCACGTGTCTTTCTGTCGTTCTTTCCCTTCTGTCTTTCCTGATTTCTTTCTTTGCTTCTGTCTTTCTTTCGTTCCTTATGTCCTTATGTATGTTTCTTGTGGATGTCCTTTGTTAGTCCATATGTCTTTATGTCTGTCTTTATGTCTTTATTTGTTTGCCTTTGTTCAAATGTCGCCTATTTAAAGGTTATAACATGTCTTTATAACCTTACTTTTGTCTTTGTTTCATTGCATTTTCTATTATTGCATTTGTCGGTTCTGTCTTTCTTCCTTTCTTTCTTTCTTTCTTTCTTTCTTTCTTTCTTTATTTATGTATTTATGGTCTTTCTTTCTTTCTTTCTTTCTTTCTTTCTTTCTTTCTTTCTTTCTTTCTGTCTGTCTGTCTGTCTGTCTGTCTGTCTGCCTGTCTGTCTGTCTGTCTGTCTGTCTTTCTTCTTTCGTGTAATCATTTATTTCCTTATGTCTTAATTTTATGTTCCTTTCGTTTATCTTCTGGTGTTTTATTTCTTTATTTAGTGCTGCTTTCGCTTTTTATTTCTTGTGTTGTCTTTTCTTTATTTAGTGTTTTCTTTTCTTTTCTTTGATTTTTGTGTTACTTTGCTTTTTGTTCTTTTGTTCTGTCCTTTCTTTCGTTGTGTCTGTGTTTCTTTCGTTTTTTCTTTAATCAGCTCGGTTGTTTTTGAGTTATGTCCTTCCTTCTATTTGCTCGCTTTCTCCCTGTCTGTCTTCCTTTGTTTCTTTATGTTCTCTCTGTATTTTGTCTCGTTCTCTCTTTCTGTCTGTCTGTATTTTCTTCTTTCTTCGGTTCCTTATTTTTTCTTTCTGTTGCTCTTTCTTTCTTCCTTTCTTTCGTTCTTTCAGTCTCTACTTATTTCTTCTGGTCTTTCCTTGTGTATTTATCTCTTATTTATTTGTGCATTTATGTTTGTCCGTGCCTTCTTTTTCTTTCATTCGTTCATGCATGTAGTTATTTACTTGTTTATGTGTTTCTTTATTTGCTTTCTTATTTCCGTCGTTCTTTATGTCTTGCTTTCTTTCTGGTATGTGTTTTCCTTGTCTTTTGTTTTCCTTGTTGCTATGTCATTATTTTCTTTATTTGATGCCTGTCCTTTATATTGTGTCGTTTCTTATTGTTCTTTCTGTCTTTCTTTCTTTCTGTCTTTCTTCTTTCTCTCTCTGTTCCTTTTTTGTCTTGTCTTTCTGGTTTTCTTGCTGCTTTCCTGCTTTCTGTCTTTCTTTCTTTGCTTCTTTCTCCTGCCTTCCTTCCGTTCTTTCTTGCTTTCTTTCTACCTATGTGTCTAACTATCTATCCAACTTATCTCGCGCTCTCTCTCTCTCTCTCTCTCTCCCTCTGCATCGGATATTTCTATTTTGCAATCCATCTATCTCATCTATCTTGTCATCTATGCGTCTGCCTATCCATCTGTTCATTTACCTATATGTTTATCGTGTCTACGTATCTATCTATCTACTTACCTACCGCGCTATCTATCTCTGCATTTGTGTATCTATTTGTCGAATAATCTAGCTAACTATCTCATCTGTCTGTCTACAAACCTTGCTATGCATTTGCCTATCTTATCTATCTCTCTTTCTGTTGGCCAATCTATCTAGCTTTCCATTTGTTGCCGCATCCTAATGCGTTCAACGGTCCCACGTTTTAGGGATAAATCCCATTTCGCGCGACCGAGGCCGATCCCATTCAAAGCCTAGTGAGGTCCCGGAAAAGAGGTTTTGCAGCCTTGTGCGTTTGCTTTGTTAAAAGCGAAGCCAAGGGAAAACACCCTTTTGTGGCGAGCGGGTCCCATAGTATGGGCACATACCATGGTAACCATGGTAATTTCGACTCAGTGGGACCCACAAAAATGAAAAGGTTGGGGGGTGTCTTGTGGCTGGCGGATCTCTCAACTGGGGATGACGCTTGATCTCAGCGCTGAAGCAATTGAACTACGCTGCCTCACCTGAAATTTTGGACTGCAGCGTCAGTCAGAGCCAGCAGAAGCTTTCCCGCGGCTCAACGTTCGAAACGCAAATTTGACCGACGTCTCATTTGTTCGAGACGTGGCAAGATACACTGAAGTGCTACAAAAAGCACTTGCTCTTGTGGAAGCGCCCAACGGCTCATCTGTCACCACCATCAACCCTGCACAAACTTTGTCTCTTGTCTTTTTGAAGGCAGAAGGTTCCCTCCACTGCGACGTCTTGAATTGAAGGGACAAATTTGTGTATTCCTCTGCGCCTTTGTGCGGCATTTTCTGCGCCAGGACTACGCGGCCTCCTCCAACAGCAAGCGCTTCAAAGCGTGCTGCACTTTGGCAAGGAGTCCTGAATTCCTTCCGAATTAAAGAAAAAACTGCACCTCACTGGCAAGCCTTCCCGAAGTGACTGCAACACCAGTGCCTGCCAGCGCTTTTGCAAAGAGGCCTTTAAACATGTCAAAAGAAGGGACCCCAACAAATGCTGGTTGTCCTGTTGTATCATCATAACCTCATAATGTGTGTGTGTGTCGGATTATTAGGCCATCTCTCGTACGTCAAAGCCGCCCCGAAGAATGACGCCCGCAAGGAGAGAAGACAAAAAGCAAAAGGCCTCTGCTTGCGGAATATCGGGACCAAGCTGTCAGCTTCAGTGACTGTGGATCGGGGGGGATCGGGGTCTATCCCCGGTTCGCATGCGCGTATTTTCTAGTTGCGTCGTTGGCTTTGTTCGCACGGCGGCCGACTTCGGGACAAAAAAGTATCGTTTAAGTTTACTTTCCAGCCCACTTACATGGAACCTGACCGGGGGTCCTGGAAGACAATGCTCCGTTCAGAAGGAAAAGTTGGTGGGTTCCATGTTAGTGGGCAGGCGAGCAATTCACCCTTGACGGAAGCCAGCATGGCCCTATTGTGTTGTTTGATGTGCTTCCCGGGGAAGAGGCTCGAGGCTTGCGAGTCTAAGAGAACAAAGCGAGCTTTGGCCCTCAAGACCGGGATTGAGTATCTGCATCACATGCTGCATTTCAGAACACATCTTCAAGGACTTCCCAGGAATCTGCCCCCATTTTTGTTTGCCCTCGGTTGTGAAACGGCCAACCTGTTCAAACATTCAACCTCCTTTTCCCTTCCCACCAGGCAAACCCAAGGCCGTGCCATCCTGAAACTCAGGGGACCAGACCCTAGATTCTTCTTCAAAGCAGCTGCTTTGTCGATTCCCCGAAATGATACCCACCGGCGGGCGACCGCCCCGATGCCCCTCTCTTCCCTTGCAAAACGAACCAGGTGTCGCCCAAATAAAACAAACCAGCACACCGCCAACGCACTTCAAGTGTCGGGTCAATGTCGCCTTCCTCGAAATCTGTGCTTGGCCGGGGGATGACTGGGTACAGCATCAAAAACGATACTCTAAGAACCGCCTGGTTTTCCCAACGTGTTTGGCAAGTGCCCTCTAGAATCCCCCGTTTTTGCTGGTTCCATCAAGTCATTACAACTTTAGTATGGTAGGAAAAACATGCGCTTGCTTTTGCAGCACCCCACCAAAATGAACAGAAGCAACAGCAACTTGAAACATGAGCCAACAACACCGAAGCATCCCCCCCCCCCATTTCCGGGTGGCTTTTCCTCACGCATTTGGCACAGAATTCCCCCCCCCCTCTTTTCGTGTGGGCTCCGAGGTGCTTCTTGGGCTCAGACCAGCCGTCATGCCAGTTCTGGTACCCCGCGACGCAGTCAAAGTCCAGGTGCCCCGAGCTGTGCACCTGGACCTGAGCCATTGCGTACAAACATGTACGCATCATTCTTCCTGTTGTGAATATTTAGTAGAAGTAGTAGTAGTAGTAGCAGCAGTAGCAGCAACAGTAGTAGTGGTGGTGGTGGTGGAGGTGGTGGTAGTAGTAGTCGTAGTAGTAGTACGTACTAGTAGTAGTAGTAGTAGTAGTAGTAGTAGCAGCAACAGTAGTGGTGGTGGTGGTGGTGGTGGAGGTGGTGGTGGTGGTGGTAGTAGTAGTAGTAGCAGCGGTATATATACATGTGTTTATGTTATTTGCAATTGAGTTGTTTATTTATTTACTTATTTATGTACTTATGAATTTGTGTACTTATTTGTGTATTGCTTTATGCCTTTGTTGATTTAAATCCTATTGCGCTTGTCCCCCCCCCCCACACCGGTGGGCTCGCCATCACACAGGCAGAAGCAACAACTTGCGTTTTTTGGAACATCAAAAGTCAAAAGACGACGGGAAGGATTTGTTCTATGGAAGTGGGGTTGATCTAACAACCAATCATGTCGCAGGCTGTTCCCGATTAAAACTCATGGCCAACTGTGAGGGGAGTGCCACTTGAAGGCGTGCGGGGAGAAAAAGAGCAAAACAAGCCGAGGTCATCAGGGATTGGGTGCGGATTTATTTTGGGATTTTTTTCGTTTTGTTTTGGGATTTTTTTTCGTTTTTCGTCCGGGCCAGCAAAATGTCGTATTTTACAGCATTTTCTCGTGAAATTGACGCATTTTACACCAGCTCGTCAACATCCCCAGCATCGTTTTCAACATCCCCCGCATGTCCGACCAACATCCCTAGCATCACCAACAAATCGTGGGTAACAAAATCCAAAAATGTAGCTGGCGGGTTGACGGGGTCAAAACAATGATGCTTCAAACAGGAGGGCATTTCAATCCCAGCAAAAAAAAAACAAAAAAACAATTAAGAAAAACAGAGCGGGGTAGTGATGATTCGAACAGGGGTGATTAAATCTCTGCAAAAAGTCTAAAAAGTAGCGGGGGGGTTGGAAGAATTGATGATTCAACTAGGGGTGCAATTAATTGAATCTCTGTAGAAAATCTAAAACGTAGCGGGGGGGTTGGAGTTAGAGTTGGCCTCTCCCGTCCGCATTTTGCCATCCGGTCCTAGGGTCCCCCCCACACTTTTGGGCACAATTCAAATACGCCCACTAAAACAGCCTATTTTGAACATTCAAATTCAATCACCCAACCAATCCAACTCCAAAAAACACATATTCACACACCCCTCTTCATTTCTTACCCCATCTCAACATCACCCTTACACTCATTCAATAACAACAATCATAACTACATACCACCTCAACAAACCCCACCAAAAAAATCCAAGCTACATACCAACATTTTTTCATTCCCAAGATCGCGACCCCAAGATCTCAATAATTTCTCCCTTGATCCAATCTGAGACCCTTTCCCATTTCCAACAAATACGAACAGTCTAAAATGAAACCCTATGTTCGCCCCGAAAAATGGTTAACCAATGGAAAAGGGAGAATTAAAACCGTTAACCCAAATCTTGAAAACAATCCCAGTAAAATATGGATGGCAAAATGCGGATCGGGAAAGGCCTATGTAGGAAAGCACCCCCACGGCTTATACATGAAAATTACACTATAATTATAACATATAAATGTTTACATGTTATAATTATACTATGGTTTTAATCATCATCATCTCTGTATTCAGGTAATTTAAATTCTGGACATTCTACAAATTTAGTGTTATGTGCAAAACACCTTCTACAATATTCATTGTCGTAGATGTATTTAACAACTTTATTAAAGTCTCTGATCATATTATTGTAATTAAATTTTGTTCCTTCGCAACAATAAGCTATTCTGTTAACATCGTTATTGTAAATGCCTCTATATATGTTTCTTAATATGCTTATCTTGTCAAACGAGAACTTGAATTCTACTTTCAAGTCTTGTTTGTCAGGAAAACTATGACAGCGAGAGAATAAGTAAATATATTCATTTATGGCTGTTCCTCTTTCGGGGTTTTTAACTGCCATTTTTCTCCTTCTCGCTGACTTGCACCCCTCGCATTCTTCATAGTTAAATTTACACATGTTATTGATGATATTACTTGGCAAGTTTAACTTACTTAACTCAACTTTCTCGTCATTTAACTTACAATAGCAGTCAGCAACACGTTTATCAAATATGTTTAGCATGTCATTTGTATAGATCTTATTTAAGAATTCATTCATAATTTCCTCTTGTTCAATCTCAGTAAATACTACCATTCTGACGCTAACGTATATAGGTAATATTTCTTTAAATACATTCTCAGAGAAATTATAATTTATAGAAATACTTTTACCACTATAATTACAACATATAAGATCTTACATGTTGTAAGTATAGCAAAACTATGGTATTAAAGGCTTTAATCTATGTATTTCCATGGGTTGTATTCGTTTCTTCTGTTCCTTCCTTAACTCTTTTGTTGCTTTTACTTTGTCTCTGCATTCCTTACATGATTTGTAAAATATCTCTTCCATTTTAATTCTATCATACATTTTGTGAAAATCCTTTCTTGGCTTTGCTTCGTCGCATTTACTGCAATGATAAACCATTGTGCATCCTGTTTCTTCTTCATCATCTGTAGAACTCATAATATTAGTTATGCCAATATGTCTTTAAACGGATTTTCAGAGAAAAATGTTTTCAATCAAGAATAAACCCCTGTATCTTCATCATAGTCAATTTGATAAAATGTCATAGTTGAAGCCTTCGGTTCTTTAATTTCTTTGTTATTAAGTTTGTTTAAATAAATATTTCTTTTATTTTTATATTCACCATTGGTTCGATCTACTTCTTTACTTTGATAACTGTTTGTTAGCGGTTTCTTCTTTTCCATTTCTTGCAAGATTTCCAAAATATTCTTATTCTGTTCTAAAACCTTGTTCAGTTTTTTAACCATCTTTTCTAATCCTTCATCCATGTAAATATATATATATTATACTATAAAATAAAACTTTTAAAACTACATGTTTAAATTATGTTAAATCTACTCTTTAAATACTAATTTTTCATCATTTGTTTAATAGTTTCCTGTGTTTCCTTATCGCCATTATCGGATGGAGTAACTCCCCTCCCAAAGCGTATAGCAATATTATGAACATCTGTTTCTAAGTTGATACTGTCTTTAGTTTTATCAATATTCATTTTCTTATCATTCTTACTTAGTTTGAAACTTGTCGGAATACACGAACCTTTACAATTTCCTTTCTTTTGAATTTCTAATTCATTTTTCATTTCTAATATTCTTTTACACATTGGACAAGCAAACTCAATAACTGATGTTTCTTTAACAACTTCTTCTTTTTCTTCATCAGTTGAAGAAACAACTGGTTCAGTCTTATTCTTTTTCTTTCTTCCCATTTATATTAATATTTACATTTTTATTTTTGATATATTGTATCACAAACTTAATTGTTTCTAAAATAAAATAACATATTTTTTACATCTATTATCAGTTGTAACAACTTGTTCTATATTCTCTACTTCATCTATTATATCAATATAATCCGAATAGCTTCTATTCATATAAAATAATAAATATAAAATATTTTCTACATAACTTTAATATTATTTTATTATGTCAGATGTTCCAATAATAAAGCCAATAAACATAACTGAATATGAATTCAAACAATCTAAATATGAGCATGTGCCAAAATTACCATTTAGAAGTATTATAGTTGCGAGTTCGACAGGTGGCAAAACAGTCTTGGTTCAGAATCTTATTTTAAATGTTTATAGAAATTCATTTGCAAGAATATTTATATTTTCCCCCAGCGTCCATAACGACCCTACATTTACAGAAGTTAAAAAATATATCAGGGACGAATTGCACGTGGATGATGAAAAAGAACAAATTTATTTTGATAATTATAATCCAAGTGATTTAGAAAATGTAATTGAAAGACAGAAGAAAATAATTAATTATATGAAATCTAAAAAGATAAAGAAACTACATTCGATATTAATCGTTATAGACGATCATGCCGACGACCCTAAATTCGTCAGATATAGTAAATTATTACATGGATTATTTACAAGAGGCAGGCACGATGCAGTAAGTGTGATTTGTTCAACACAAAAATACAATGTTTTAGCGCCTATCATTCGTTTGAATGCCAGTTCATTATATATTTTTAGCTTGAAAAATGCCAGTGAGCTGATGAGTTTTATTGAAGAAAATAGCGCCATTGTTGATAAACAGCAATTATTAGATATGTATCATCAAGCAGTGAGTTTTGCTCCATATTCTTTTTTCTACGTGAATATGAATTCAAAAGACATTAACAACATGTTTCATATCAATTTTGAACAGGCATTTCAAATTACAAATGATGAATAAAGATATTCTAATTTAATATAATATAATAATATGGTTATAAAACAATGTAGATGTGGTGGATTTTATCGTAGAGGTAATTATAATTTTCATACTAATTCTTGGATACATAAACTTTATAAGGTATTGAAAAGAAGGGCAACAGACGAGGAATTATTACGATTTCAAAATATTTTTGTTGATGAAGAAGATTTAATAGATGATAGATGTAGCAATGCCTCAACGAAATTACCCGAAAGTGAAATGACAGATTATGATAGCAATTAATAATATTAATTTGTTTTAATATTATTAATTTAAAATAGTGAATAATTACATAATTGAACAGGTAATTTATATATCAATTTGTCAGACTTTTCTTTTTCTAGTTTCTCAATTCGTGCCACACATTCTTGAAGAGATTTAATAATTAAAGTGTCTGCTCGTGTTTTTTCATCTATACTTAAAACCTTAATGTCTTCCAAACTATTATTTTCATTATTTTTACTTTGAAAAGCACCCATTATATATAATATTATTTAGATTTTAATTTTTCAAAATTATATTTTTGTTTTTCTTCTCCGTCTTCTTCTTCTTCGTCTTCAGTTGGTGCTGGTATTTCTG